ATCAGTCAGGGTTTCTGGAATTGGAAGGGACAGGAACCTTCTAAGCAGGAAGCTCTCAACTGAGCATTCTTGGTTCCAAAAGGCTCACAGAACTTGTCAAACCCCAAACAAGTATGTCCTAAGTTAGCCTGCTGGGGGAGGAAGGCTGCAGGGCCTCAATCTTGGGCTAGGTATGGGCAAGAGACCCCAAGAAGCTAAAGAGGGAAGAGGAGGGTCTACAAAGCCAGCATCCCATCTTGTTGCTGAACAAGCCCCTGCCAGCCTTGCAATGGGAGACTGCAGGAAGTAGGGAACTGAAGGGGAGGGAGAGTGGGTTTCAGAATCAATAAGCATCCCCCAGCCTGCCACAGCTGCTCTCCGGGCTCCACGCATACCATCTGAGCAGACCCCTGAGTGACAAAGTGCCTACAGCCAGAGCTAACAGCCAACAAGGGTGTGTCCTGAGCACTTAGCACGGGCCACACTCTGCTCTCTGGAATGAGGGTGAACTCATTCACACCTCTCAATAAGCGTGATGGTAATCACTGTAGCAGACCTACAAGCACAAGGGAAAACCAAGGCAAAGTCACTTGCCCAAGCTCTCAGAGCTAGTGACATGGGAGAACCAGGATTCAAACCCTCTTGACCCCCAAGCCAATGCCCAGCTCAAGCTCACTACACAGCATAGGACTGGGAGTGGGATGAAAAGACCCAGGGCCCACATGGGAGAACCAGGATTCAAACCCTCTTGACCCCCAAGCCAATGCCCAGCTCAAGCTCACCACACAGCATAGGACTGGGAGTGGGATGAAAAGACCCAGGGCCTAAAACTCAAGCCATAAGTCCACAGACTAAGCTCCGAGGGGTGCTACAGCATGACGATGGAGACTGACACCAGAAACCCAGCTCCACGCTCCCCAAGTAGTGGCTGGCCTTGGTTTCATCATCTATAAAGTGCACATAATAACAGACCCCCACCATTTGGGCTGCTGGAGGATTAAATAATATGTGTAAAATGAGTAGAACAGTCACTGACACACAAGTACTTTATAATACTTCAAAATACTCTACAAGTATTAGCTATAAATACATCAACAAACATGAACCAATAAGGGAAAATGCCAAAACAAACAATGTCACAGTTATCCAAAGTGTACACACAAGTACACACACCACGGGACAAACAACCCTCATGCATACTCCAAGGAAGCATCCAACAACCTGAAGCATTATAACACGCAAGCTACATGCTCCAAACAAAA